CTCGTCTCGTCGTCTACTCTCTCTCTCTCTCTCTCTCTCTCTCTCTCTCTCTCCTCTCTCTCTCTCTCTCTCTCTCTCTCTCTCTCTCTCCTACGGCGAACAAAGATACGCGCGCCCCGCCGTACGGGGCCAGGCCTTGGCGAGGGGGGATTCGGTGGGGAAAACGTGTGCCAGATGTTGAGGAGAGATAATTGCGCGAACCGCGATGACGTCGCGCGATAAACTCCAAGTTCGTTGGGTCACCGTATGCTGAAAATTTTGAGGTCTCGCGCGCGATGATTTATTGTATTGATTAACGATGAGGATTAGCGATTTACGTTTACCGGTGACTACGGTCACGGCTGGCGAAACGGAGAAGGAAAATGCTCTATCGATTAATAGAGTAAAATAATAAAATTGTCGTTCAATAATAAAATAATGGAAAAAGATTGTACTTCATACTCGCTTGTGTATTCAAGGATAAAAGAAGTCGAAGGCCGACCTGAGGCCAAATGTAACAAAAGTAAAAAGTTCGATCACCGTCACGAGAATTTTAATTTTAATATCAGGCTGTATTTTGTTGTTAATTTAATCTTGCATATTAAATTAATTTAATTCTTGATCATGAAGTTTATTATAAATGACTGTAATAGTTATTGTGACATTTCTAAAAGGAATGTAATAATGGAAAGTTTGATTTATAAATGATGATTTTTTTATTGTCAATAGAGAAGAAGTTTATTTACTTCACGGATCTTAAAAAGATTTATTTTAATCTTCTTTAAACTTTATATGAATGTAGAAATATAATCTTTAAATCTATAATTTTAATTAGAATTTTTAGAAATTCATCATGATTTGATTTACAGTTCTTGTGATTGTCGCTTCACAGATAGTAAGATCTTTCCGCATTTCTAACACTCTTGATTATAAGTGCATTATTCGTTTGAAGAAAACAATGCCGAAAATACAATTGAGATAAATGATCAATGATCTGCAGGATGGCGAAGAATCAACATCAGAATGGCGTAATACCGGGAGGCATGGTGACTGGTCCAGATGATTTTTCGGATGGTGAAAGCACTCCTCTGACTCAGGACTATGCCGGAAGGTATAGAGATTTCATCATCTTTAATAATTTCTTTTTGGCCCAAAGATTCAAGGACGAAAGAAATTAAGTAAAAATTGGAAACCGCGTATCGAATAATAAAAATTGCGAAAAAAAAATCGGAAAAGAATAAAATTAAAAGATTCAATTATTTATAATTGGATTACATTAGATTTCAATTAAATGCAAGAATCAGATTAAGATTAATAATTAGATAAAGATTATGTTAATTAAAAGAGAAATAATTTGCTTTAGATTACATGTGAAATTAATCTCTCTTAGAAAGATTTGAATAGAAAATTTATCTAACGTAAATAAAATATTTATTTGCGAAAGGATGAGCCGATTATTAATCGATTATTAATTCGATTAATTGTTTCAATGTAGCCAACGAACGATTGTCGAGACGAAAGGATGGGACGTGTTTCGAAATCCACCGATGAAGACCGACTCGAACTCGGGCTCTATGGCAAACCAGAAATGCCTGGAGAGGATGGTGCAGGTGATCAAGGTTTTCGTCTACTTGCTCGTTTTTGTTATAGTTTTGGGCAGCGGCGTGGTTGCCAAGGGCACGATTCTCTTCATGACGTCGCAGCTTCGACAGGACAGAAAAATACTCTACTGCAATAAACAACTCGGTAAAATTTGAATATATGTTTTATCTTGAACGAAAAAGTTCTTGATACGATCTTGATACGATCCAATAAAATCAAAATTCAATTTCAAATTAATTCGGAGAGAGATTAGAGATTGCGAAAAGTAAAATGATTCTATTATTAAATAAAATTACAAGAAGATAGAGAGAGAGCAATAAAGATATATGCATAAAATCTAACAATTATTTAGAAGCTCGTTTTCCCGATTATTATTTCGCTTGAATAATAATCTCTTTTAGATCGAGAAAATCAATACATAGTGACACTACCAGAGGAGGAGAGAATCGCGTGGATATGGTGCATAATAATCGCGTTCGCGGTGCCGGAGTTCGGCACGCTGGTACGCAGCATCCGCATGTGCATCTTCAAGTCATGGAAGAAACCGCAATTGGGACACTTTCTCGTAGTTTTCATCATGGAGACATTTCACGTGGTCGGCTTGGCCTTGATGTTCCTGGCGGTGCTTCCAGAACTTGACGTCGTCAAAGGGGCAATGCTGACCAACTGCGTGTGCTTTGTTCCAGGATTGTTCGGTAATTCGATGCTAATTTAATTTTTTATTTAATTTGGTTTTATTTTATTGTTTAAACGTTGAATATATACAACAAATTACAATATAGAGAAAACTAGAAAAAAATAATAAATAAATGTTTAAAGAGGAGTTACATATAAGGAAGTTTATCCGAGAAAGAAAAAAGTGAAATAAAACTAAATATTATATAAAATAAAACCAAATAATTATTTGATATAATGATATTTGTATTAATAAATCTAATTTATTATTCGCAATATTAATTGATATGCATGAATATAATTGAATTTTCCAAGCAATCCAAATTTGCACCATACGATCTGGGATTTATATTCCAGATTGTATAATACAAATTTGGATAATTTTTTATAATATTAAATAAAAACATGGAATCCACCCGCTTTATTCAATCGCGATCGCCCGACTTTCGCGATTTTTCAATTTTTCCACGGTTCCGTATTGCCGAGCGAATAATAATCACGAAAGTGGTGATCACGCCCTGTCAGATAGGTGAAGTGAAACACACGCCGCGTACATTCACAGGCCTACTTTCCCGTAACAAAAGCAAAGACGAGTCCAAGCGATTCGTCCTCGTTCTTGTCGATATCGCCGCCTTGGCCGCCCAGGCAACCAGCTTCGTCCTTTGGCCCTTCCTGGACAGTTCGAGACGATCTTTATGGCTGATTCCCGTTTCGCTGCTTCTCGTCTCATGCGGCTGGTGGGAAAATTACGTCTCCACGCAGAGTCGAATCGGTGAGTTCCCTGGTCCTTTACAACCCGAAATATTAATTTTATTCCAAATTAAAATCGAATCACAGCAGGAATAAAAATACCTATTTTTTCCTATAATAATTAACTTGTTAATATATTAAGAAATTAATTATATAGTATTTATCTATATTGATTAATTATAATTTGACACTTTTGGATTAATTATTTTATATAAAAGCTTATATTAATTATTTTATTAAACTATTCAACTGGTTGACCGGTTGACAATTATTTTTATCTTTTATCTCTCCTCGCAGGTCTAATCAGATCGCTCGGCAGAGTGAAGAAGGAGATGCGATTGACGCGTTATTTCACCTACCTGTTGGTGTCCGTCTGGAAAATCGTTGCGTTCTTTATCAGCTCGGTACTGATATTGCACGTCAAAGGAGAAACTGTCGGGCATCTTTTTACCATGCTGAGCAGCGCTTTCGGCGACCACAAGATCACGGTCACGTCCATCAAGGCGATCACCGGCGGCAGTTTACCCGATCTTTCGGAAATTCTAACGGGCGACATCACCGAGGTCGTCAACGCCGACTTCAATACGCCCATCTACGTCCTTCTACTGCAGATTGCTGGCGCTTATTTCGCCTACGTGTTTGGTAAGCGAGCTGAAAGCTATCTTGTAACAATAAGACTTACGATATATTACAATTATGCAAAAAAATTATGCAAAATTTTTATGGAAAAAAAAATTATTCGATTAGATGAACTAATTTCTGGTGAAATATAAACGGAATTCAGAAATTCCGGTTGAAGTTATCAGACTTCACTCTGAATTAAATTATCAAGGTTTCTGGTTAACGTAAAGGAATCTAGTAATTTCAATGGAAATTTCTAAATCGTCATTTCATCAAAAATTAGTTTAGCCAATCAAATTATATATTTTCCATGTGGCTTTTGTTAAAAAATATATATTCTGAAAAAGATATGCCTTAATTGAATAAAAAACATTTTCCCTGGAATTTTAGATTAAAGATACTTTCCGGTTTTAATTAATTTATATAATTTATATAATTTCGCAGGCAAGTTCGCATGCAAAATCTTGATCCAAGGCTTCAGCTACGCATTTCCGGTGAATCTCACGATACCAGTATCGATTTCCTTGCTGATCGCCGCGTGCGGTCTCCGCAACAGCGATCCTTGCTTCTTCCACGGCACCATACCAGATTACCTGTTTTACGAGTCGCCGCTGCCCAACTTTCTCAATGATTTCGTGTCGAAGCAATACGCTTGGGTATGGCTGCTCTGGTTGTTATCGCAGACTTGGATCACCCTGCACATCTGGACACCCAAGTGCGAGCGTCTCGCGGCCACGGAGAAGCTCTTCGTCGTGCCGATGTACGACTCGTTGCTGATCGACCAGTCGATGGGCCTCAATCGGAGAAGGGACGATCAGCCGGAAGTCAAGGTCGAGGTAAGTATCTTCGGTCGAACTTAACTTTCAATGTAATTCGCAAAGTAAAATAAGCTTATATTAACCTTTTTACTTCTATATTTCTTAAAATAACTGATTATTTTAAATAGAAATATGAAAAAAATAATTACTGAGCTACGAATTTATTATTAACTCTTCGATTAATTGGTACTTGGGGCCGATCGATAGGATCTGGCAGAGATAGAGAAGGAAAAGGGCGACGGCGACTACGAGACGATCTATGAGCAAACGGACGGCTCGACTACACCTCCGTCCGCAGTGAAGAGCAGCGATCACGTAACCAGGATATACGCTTGCGCCACTATGTGGCACGAGAACAAAGAGGAAATGATGGAATTCCTGAAGAGTATCCTGCGCCTGGACGAGGATCAGTGTGCGCGGCGTGTCGCTCAGAAATACCTAAAGGTCGTCGATCCCGACTATTACGAATTCGAAAGTAAGTGACGTTGCAGACTTAATTAATTAGCAGACACTATTAAATATGTCGTTGCTTTGTAATATGGGAATACGCAATTCTGCAGCTCATATATTCTTCGACGACGCGTTCGAGCTGTCCGACCACGACGAGAACGAGTCGCAAGTGAACAGATTCGTAAAGCTATTGGTCGGCACGTTGGACGAAGCCGCGTCGGATGTTCATAAAACGAGGATGTACGTGAGAGCACCGAAGAAGTATCCGACTCCGTATGGCGGACGATTGGTTTGGACTCTTCCCGGAAAAACCAAGATGATCGCGCATTTGAAGGACAAGAGCAAAATCCGACATAGGAAACGGTGGAGTCAGGTATTTAAAAGAGCTTAAGAGATTTCGAATTTTAGAAGCTTAAGATTTTCGAATTTTAATAGAATAAAAATTCAAATTTAAAAAAGAGAAGCTTAAATTCAATATTCATTAAAAGTAAAGTTATTCTCGGGTTGAAGTTTTACCTCGGAAATGCATATTCATTTTCTGATTTACATTGATTACAGGTGATGTATATGTATTACCTTTTGGGACATCGGCTGATGGAATTACCGATCAGCGTCGATCGCAAGGAAGTTATTGCCGAGAATACATATCTATTAACGCTGGACGGCGATATTGATTTTCAACCGGCGGCTGTGAAACTTCTTGTCGACCTGATGAAGAAGAATAAAAATCTAGGCGCTGCTTGCGGTCGCATCCATCCAGTCGGTTCCGGTAAGTCAGCAATTAAAAACAAATGTAATCGTAACGTAATGATTAATAATCGTAATAGTTCACTAGCAAGCAGCAAATTACAACTATTTAAGTATTAATTGACAAAACATCTCTCGCGAATGGACCCAGGACCAATGGTGTGGTACCAAATGTTCGAGTACGCGATTGGCCACTGGCTGCAAAAAGCTACCGAGCACATGATCGGCTGCGTGCTCTGTAGTCCCGGATGCTTCTCACTATTCCGAGGTAAGGCATTGATGGACGACAACGTAATGAAGAAATACACGACCAAATCCGATGAGGCGAGACACTACGTGCAGTACGATCAGGGGGAGGATCGTTGGCTGTGCACGTTATTGTTGCAACGAGGATACAGAGTACGTATTGATTTTGCTATGCGATGACTTCCTATCCTATTAATTGTTATTTAATTTATTGTATTTATTGTATAGTTTTGATTTATTATTAGCATTTTATCCTTATTTCACGATTTTCATTCGTATTAATGACAAACGATGACAAATATTTTAAACTGTCTTATTTTATAGGTAGAATATTCCGCGGCAAGCGACGCTTATACTCACGCACCGGAAGGATTCAACGAGTTCTACAATCAACGGCGTCGTTGGGTGCCTTCGACTATTGCGAATATCATGGACCTACTAATGGACGCGAAACGCACGATCAAAATCAACGACAATATCTCGCTGCCTTATATTTCGTATCAAATTCTATTAATGGGTAAGTGCTTTTCTGACAATCAGAATCCAATTGAAGATTTAAGTGTGAACTACAATATACAAATTTATAATTTTAAATTTCATTAAATTATAATAGACCAGATTGTATTTATAAATAAATTAGAATAAACCTAAATAAACTAACTTATATTTAATATATATAAAAGAGTAAATGTTTTAGAGACTTATTGACTAGTTAAGTCATCACAACTAATAACTCATATCGGAATATTTTAAAACAGGTGGTACGATTTTGGGACCCGGCACGATCTTCCTCATGTTGGTGGGTGCCTTCGTGGCTGCTTTCAAAATCGACAATTGGACCAGCTTCTATTACAACATCATTCCCATCTTGTTCTTCATGATCGTCTGCTTCACGTGCAAAGCGAATATACAGGTAAGTATCTCTCGCTCTCTGTCTCTCTCTCTCTCTCTCTCTCTCTCTCTCTCTCTCTCTCTCTCTCTCTCTCTCTCTCTCTCTCTCGATTTATCACGTCTGTGTAAACGTGTTCGTGCATATTCGCTTTTCGCTTGTATTGTCTACGTCTTTCATTCGGAAATTATTTTCATTAGCAAGAATTCTTAATTGTAATATCATATTAATGTAATTTTTGTGCAATATCGATTCATGTTCTGTATGTTTGCGATTTTTTACGTCAAATCGGAGCTCGATCGAAGACATCTTCAAGAGTGGATGGTTTTCAGCTTTTATGCGCCCAGATCCTGTCGACGGCGTACGCGATGATCATGATGGCGGTAATCGTAGGTACCGCTCTACAGCTTGGCGAGGACGGTATAGGCTCACCCTCGGCAATCTTCCTCATATCACTGTCGAGCTCGTTCTTCATAGCAGCCTGTCTACACCCGCAAGAATTCTGGTGCATCGTGCCTGGCATCATATATCTGTTGTCCATTCCATCCATGTATTTGCTCTTGATACTGTACTCCATCATTAATCTTAATGTTGTGACCTGGGGTACTAGAGAGGTCCAAACGAAAAAGACCAAGAAGGTTCGTCAGTGTCAATTTTTTCTTTTTTTTTATTTATTTATTTATTTTTTTTATCTTTGGCACTGAGTCATAATTAAATAGGGATATCTTCTGAATTTTTAAAAAGATGAAAGATCAGGTTTTTGGATTCTCTCTACTCGTTACTTAAATATTTTTTCTAGAATGAAGTAACGGCGTCATTACGAAAAATATTTAATACTTTTTTTGTAAAAAAGTATTAAATATTTTTACAGTATGATGTACGCATGATATCTTTATCGTAAAAAGTTACATTTTTTTTTTATTTACAAAATAGACTAAATATATTTAATGGCATGTTGAAGCAACTTGGACGTTCTCCAATGCACGAATCGAATAGGGCTGCACTCTGGAGATAAGGCAAATAATCTCTCATCAAAGTTTCCTCATCGAATGATCTTTTTCAATCATCATTCCCGCTTTGTCGTAAGAGTCCGTCGCGCTTTAGCTTCAGCTTCGCTTAACTCAAAATGGAGGATAAATAACGCACACGAAGGTTTGGTGATTCTTAACGACAGGTGATAGTAGCCGCCGTAATCAGCGCCATGTATGCGATTGTGATGGCAGCAGTGATCATCGCGTTCGCGATAAACGTTGTGACGGACACCGTGATATCGCCGAGCGTGTGGTTCCTGTTCCTCGTGATGGGCGAGTTCGTGATCGCAGGTTTCTTGCATCCATACGAGATCGGTTGCCTCCTGCACAGTCTGATTTATTATCTGGCGGTACCCTCTATGTTCGTGCTACTAATCATATACTCACTCTGCAATCTGAACAGCATCTCGTGGGGCACGCGGGAAAGTAAGACGGAGAAGAACGTCTGCGTGGTAATTAATCTCACCGACTAATCTACGCTAATCGAGGCATCACTCGCGAATGTTTGCGAATGTTTTATCGGCTTTCACAATTTTGTATATACGCAAGAATATCTAATGCTTGTAATTAATGCTGTACAATTCGATAAGAAATAGAGGCTCATCAACGTTTCTAACTATTAAGATTTTTTTTTTTCGAAATTTACATTCTACATTATTTGTCAAATTTTAGGAGAAAAAATTAAGAGATAAAAAAAATTAAAATTTTTTCGGAACTTTAATAATTTCCAATTGAATTTATTTTTTTAAATTAATGATATAAATTATAAGAAAATATTAGATATATATTCTACAAATTAAACAAAAAAAAGATTTAATCTTTTTATTAAAATTTGATTAAAATTAAGCACATGTATGAGTCTGTAAAATTAAAAATACAAGTATGAAGAGAGAATGATTATTACTAAAATTAAACTACTTTCGTAATGAAATTTTTTTCTTAAAACAAATGTTAACGGATTAATAGTTAGTTGGTTAATATATATTTAATTATATCGTATCGTCATCTATTTAACTAACTTGAACTCGCATTATTTAATGAAAAAAACGCATGGCGATAAACATCTTTGTACGCTTGTGATATACATGATTATTTGCGCGACTTAGGAACTCGAGCAAGAGAAACGGGAAGCAGAGGAGGCAAAGCGCAAGGCCAAGCAGAAATCCTTACTAGGTTTTCTGCAGAATGGCGCAGGCACCAACGATGATGATCAAGGTTCAATCGAGATATCGCTGGCTGGTTTGTTCAAATGCTTGCTGTGCACTCATGGCAAACCGTCCGCCGAAAAACAGCAACTCGTGGCAATCGCCGAGTCGCTCGAGCAACTCGGCAAAAGACTCGAAACTATCGAGAGGTAAGGGAGAAACAGCGGACGGATCGACGAAAGATTGGGTCGATAAGGTTTATAAATTGTAAAGTTGAAAGTAAGATGAACTCTCGAAGGAGATTTTGCAAAAATAAACAGTATTACAAAACAAATTACGAAAAATTTTAAAATTGTAATATTAGAAGAAAGATATGTCGTCGTTAGAAAACACCAGCTTTCTAAAGTAGATAAAAGTAGATAAAAAATATCTTTTTCGTCATCACATGAATTATTTTGCTCTCTATTAATTTTGAGATTAATTCTTAATAATTGATCTGGCTTCGACCTTCTTTTTTTACAGAGCGGTAGATCCTCACGCCTCTGGACGAAGAAGAGCCTCCTCCGTAGGTTCGCGTACCGCCGATCACCTGGGTGCTATCGGCGAAGATCCGGCCGAGGATGATGAAAATAGCGATACGGAGACAGTGATTAGCCAGAATACCGAAGGTAATCGCGACGGCGTCAACTTCCTCACGCGACCATATTGGCTGAACGATGACGGTCTGAAGAAGGGTGAAGTAGATGTATTATCGTTGCAAGAAGAACAGTTCTGGAAGGATCTGCTGGAGAAATATCTTTATCCGATTGACGAAGACAAAGCGGAGAAGGTAACGTGACAATCGAAGCGCTGGGATTCTCGTTCAACTTTCTTTTGAATTTTAAAAAATGCACGAAAAAAATTAAAATTTATTCTGTAAAATTTTCAAATTTTTAATTTTGAGGACTAAATTAATTATTAATTTTTATCAATCCATTTTTTCTGCACATCGAAAAGCTTTTATTTTGCATTTTGATTTTAAATGATTTCTTTTTAATAGAATAATAATAGTAGTAATTAGAAAATAGTAATTAGCATTGCTATTAATAGAATTAATTTTGTAATATAATAGAAAAAAATTTTGGAATCGGGATGAATTTTTTCGTGATACAACGCGCGATACGTCTTTGTCAGTGCAAGCTATCGATCGAGGATGAAGAAACAAAATTTATTTTTTATGATAGTACTAGTAACATTGTGCTTTCGATTTGTTTTACATTATTTTCCATATTTGACAGACGCAATCATGGGATCATTGAGAAATCAAAGTCTAAAAAATCTACAAATCTTCCATTTTTCGGCGATTGCCTAGAGAAATACAATTAAGCTAAATTAAAGTAAAAATTATAGAAAATTGTTCTCTAGTTAAAGCTGATTAAATTAAATTAAAAATTTAAAGGAAGAATTCTTGATATAATTTAAAAATAATTTAGGTAAAAAAGATGATGAAAAATTATTAACAATTGAAATTTTTCAATTAAATTGCCAAACCAGACATTGGAAGCTTGTTTCTCGAAGTGTGTGAAGTTGTAACGCTTCGCAGAGAACATGCATCTATTTGTACAGTTAATTGTACATTGTTGATATATTTAAATTAACGCACGCCATACTGCCCCGGTCAGGCACGAATCGCCAAAGATCTAAAGGACCTACGCGACCAGAGCGTCTTTGCGTTCTTTATGATGAACGCCCTCTTCGTCCTGATCGTCTTTCTGCTGCAATTGAATAAAGACTTGTTGCACATCAAGTGGCCATTCGGCATCAAGACGAACGTCACGTATGATCAAAGCACGATGGAGGTAAAGCCAACTCCGTCGGCGCCTCGCCGATCCTCGATCGTGGATTTATCTCTAAGAAAATCGTTAACGACAAATTTCATGCGTCCAATTTTTGATGCGCCAAGTCCACGAGATGGACGATCGAGGAAAAATGGACGGATCGTAGTAACCGAGATAACGAAAGATCGACGGATCGATGGACCGATCGACGGAGTTCTATACTATACTTACTAGTCTAATCTCGTGTCGTTTCTTTTTTCTGTTTCTCTCTGCATTTCCCACGCATTTCGCACGCAACGCGCAGGCCCGCATCGCCGCCGATCTGATCGAGCTACGTAACAAGAGCGTGTTCGCATTTCTAATGTTCAATGCGTTGTTCGTTCTGATCGTATTCTTGCTACAGCTGAACAAGGATCAGCTGCACGTAATCTGGCCGCTCGGCGTCAAGACCAACATCACCTATGTTGAGGAAACCTCGGAGGTATCCGATGATCAAGCATCAGGGGAAAGGATTAGGCCATGGTGGTGTCCGACGATCGTGCGGTGTCTCGTTAAAGCCGCCCCCGATGCTCTTGGACGCTTGGATAAGTCTTGCGAATAAAGCTTATTGCCAAAATTGTCAAAATTACTCGATGAGAGAATTAATGAAAATCAGTAAAGACATAGAAATAATGATGGAAATTTGTTAAAATAATGATAAGGTTCCCTAAAACTTTGTTTCTTCTTTTAAATTTTCTTTCACTTTTTCTTTCACAAATTAGAAAATTTGTCAAAAAAACTTGTCATTTATCAATATCTTGGAACCAGTTTATTAAATTTGTTTCTGAACATCCAATCGTGTCAGGGGCGAGGATTGTATTATATCTCGGTGATGACATGCACCCGACTCAATATGTACATAATGTTTTATGTGTCATTAACACAATTGACTCGTTCGACAGCACGTGGAAGGTCTCCTCGATTAATATTCTCACACGCAGGTACTTCACCCTCACCTCGGGTCGAATGGAATGGAATGACGTGGAGGTGATTTCTAGTGGCTCTAGTGACTAGGAATAACCAGAGATTAATGTCACACGTAATAACATATTCCCGTTTGCCCCTTCTCATCAAATTAAACGAGATCCATTTGTGAAATTAAATTAAACCACATTAATTTAATTAATTTATAATCAATCAAATAATAGAAGTGGATAAATTGACGAGCTTGCTCCTCGAGATATTTGAAACTAATAATTTTTGGGCAGAAAATAAAATTTTTAATTCCTGTTTTCGTCAAGAAATAAGTTGATATCTTTATTATTTCTATATAATACCTAAAAATTATTAGTGTCATTGTTATAAAAATTATTATATGAAAATTGCTAATATTATTAAAAAAAAGATTATTACTAAAGAATTAAATAATACGAAAGAAAATTATGCATTCACGTATCTAAGAAAATAATTCTGGAATCGATAGATTCTTACAGATTCGAGATTCTACAAATCTTCCATTTCTGGATATGTAGAAACCCTCGGATCCTGCGTCTTTTTCCCTCTTTTGTTGTATCTAACTTTGACACATGCACATGTCAGATGTGGCAGTGGACGAGCACCACTAACGTATATAACGTAATGGTTGCTTTCAGTGTCTTCACATCAAGGGGGGTTCAACCGTGCTCGTCTTATTTTGTTTGTTTAATGTATAATAATGTGTGTTTGTGTATGCGTTTTGTATATTTATATGTACATAGGTGTGTTAATCTTAACACGCACGAAATCCACCAATGATTATGGAATCTTAACTGCTAACGACTTGTCCATATATTCAATTTGTTTTTAATCTATGCACGTACTCACGAAGGAATCACGATTCTTAATGGTGATCGATCAATTATTATTATTTTTCACTGAACAAAATTTAAAACGAAATCTCTCTGTAAATCGTGAAAAAGTAATTCGAAATATAAAAATTAATAAAATAATTTCAAAAGTTTGATTTAACAATTAATAATAATAAGACACTAACGTAAAATTGTAATAATTTAATGATTTATAACATAATTTGTATGTTATTTTGATAACTTATTAAATTAAGTAGAAAAATATTCGCTAGCTTCAGTAATTGCGATCGCCACTAGGCGTTGTTTCCCAAAAATAACTACTACGTTGCGTATCGTAACAAGTTCTAAACACGTGCGATTTTACAGGTACACATCACGAAAGAATATTTGCAACTCGAACCGATCGGTCTCGTATTTGTCTTCTTCTTCGCGCTAATATTGGTCATACAATTCACCGCGATGTTGTTCCATCGATTCGGTACGCTGGCCCACATTTTGGCCAGCACGAGCTTGGATTGCTGCAAGAAGGTGCGTGTTGATTTTTGTGTTATAATATTACATATGTTTTGTCTTGTTAAATTTTTGCGAAAGATTGGTCGCTTGGCGAAATACGATGGACTTTTGCACCAACTCGATCCAACTGTCTGATCTGAACTGTTTCACGTGAATGTTAATATGTCTTCGCAGACGAAGGATCTCTCGGAGGAAGCCTTGCTGTCGAAACATGCGGTCGACATAGTAAGAGATCTCCAGAGGCTAGACGGGATCGAAGGCGACTACGAGGAAGGCAGCGGTAGCGGGCCCGGTAGACGGAAAACAATCAGAAATCTGGAAAAGAGTCGCCGGAAGACGCAGGCGATCAACACGCTCGACGTGGCCTTCAGGCAACGTTTCTTCAGTATGAACGAGGGCGCAGGTGAGCGAGGAAATTAGGAAGCTAGAAAAACGCGAAAAACAATTTTTGAATGTAATGTACCTAATAGTCTTTAAACTAATAACAATCATCGATAATCGAATTAAAATCTCTTCAGGTCTGTCGAGGAACATGTCGACGCGACGCGAGGCGTTTAAGGCGTTCGAGGGCAGGCGTAACAGCATAATGGCGATGCGCCGGAAGTCGCAGATGCAGACTTTGGGAGCAAACAACATCTACGGCGTGGCCGGCAACCCCCTCGGAATCCAGGGTCGACCGTCCCGCAGCAGTCAGATATCCGTGAAGGACGTCTTTGAGGGACACGCGGCGGCGGCGGCTGCGGCTGCGGCTGCGGCTGCGGCTGCGGCAGCGGGACACGTGAACGCCGGTTATGAAGGCGACGACAGTCCTGGCAACAGTTTGCGGCTACAGAATCTCGGCAGCAGTCAAGTCACGTGGCGAGAGGCGAATTCCAACGTGTAATTCCTCAATCTCTTCCTCAATCCCTGCCTCCCTCTATCCTTTATCGTGATGAATTAACGAAGAACCCAGTGAATTTATTTATCGAAGAGCTCAATTCCGAAAATATCTCCAAGTCATGTCTTTAAAAAAATTGCGTGAAAATTTCATCATGCTTCTCGCAGTTTCTTCTTTCTTCCAACGCGAATCTCGTGTGCTTTGAGAAATGGAATTAAAAATGATATTGCTTCAAGATTGATACTTGTAAGTCTAGCAAGGCTGCAGAGGAGAATTATTTTTTAAAATAAGGTTTTAATGATTTTGGAAGTAAGCTCATAAATTATCAACCATCAATCGAGAAAATCCATGTTTAACATCAGAAATTATGGTATTTTAACGAAGATGCTTTCCCACACGGTACGGGTCGAGACGTTCTTAGAATGTTCCTGCATCTTAAAGACGTCTCTCAGATAAAGCGTATTGTGTGGCTTGTTACTTGTTACAAAATAATTTTTATAAATTCGTAAAGGGAAGAACTGCACAAATTTAAATAATGAAGCACATTCGCATTTCCTTTCACGTATTATTCTTCACTCTTTATGTTTTCTCTTATCTCTAATGTTTTGCTCGTCATTGCTGTTTCTCATTATTATTATTATTATTATTACACATTGTGGTGTTTCAGACACAAGGAGATACATTTTGTATCGTAATGTTGGTTTGAAATAGGTCTGTTATTTTTCCTTCTTTTAACTGTATTTTTCACATGCTCTTCTGCATCTTTCTCTCTCTCTCTAATTTGCTTAAATCCTAGGAATATATCTTTTTTTCTTTTTCATTTTAAATGCAGAGTATGTAAAGTAACACAGTTAAAAGAAGCGGACCTGATTTTTGTATTGTTACTGCCAGGTAAATCGGTGGTGACCGCGATGATTACGCTTACTCGCTCCGTTTTCTATTATGTATGTGATAAGGCCGATATTTAAAATAGAAATTTGCGTATGAGCGATGAATGAATGTATATACAAGTGTAAATTGCACGTGCGTATTTGAAGATTGTATGCATAATGATTGTATGTATGATACTAGTGATAAAACAATAATAATAATAATTATAATAATGCCACAAATGTGGAGAATTTTAAATAAACTGCATTCAAATGATATATCTTCACATCCTTCATTTAATTAATTAAAATTCAAATATAACTAAAAATCTCACTAATTATGTTATGATATAACAACAATAACACATTCATAAAGACTATCAAAACTGTCAGTTTTGAAAATGTATAATGTACGTTACGTAGATTTCCAGCATTGTGTGAAGTGGCATTGGAGCACAGTTAAAATTAAACTGACAATACTGACATATGTCACTCTTAAAACTCTTCAAATTTGTTTCAAACAGTTCC